AAACTATGGATAGTGTTATAATAAACACGAAAAGGAGCTGAGTATAATTAGGGAGAAAACGTAAAAGGAAGACGATGGATAAAAGACAAAGAAGAAGAAGAAGAAGAAGAAGAAGAAGAAAAAGAAGAAGAAGAAGAAGAAGAAGAAGAAGAAGAAGAAGAAGAAGAAGAAGAAGAAGAAGAAGAAGAAAGGGAAGAAGAAGAAGAAGAAGAAGAAGAAGAAGAAGAAGAAGAAGAAGAAGAAGAAGAAGAAGAAGATGAAGAAGAAGAAAAGAAGAAGAAAAATAAGCAGAAGAAGAAAAATAAGCAGAAGAAGAAGAAGAAGAAGAAGAAGAAGAAGAAGAAGAAGAAGAAGAAGAAGAAGAAGAAGAAGAAGAAGAAGAAGAAGAAGAAGAAGAGAATGAAAAGGTGACTGAGGACGTGCTCACCTGTTATTACTACCCACAGCCTCCTCAACAGTGTTTCTGTTCCATTTTTTCTGACCGTCACCGTTCTCGTAATCCTGTGGGGCGCAAGTCGGGATTTTCCTGTATCACAATTCCTGGTGCGAAACGTCGCTCTGAAAACAACAGGCCAAAATAATTGTACCTTTAATTTTTTTGTTCTCAATTTCGAATATATTTCAACTTTCATTTTCTTTCTTTCTTTCTTTCTTTCTTTCTTTCTTTCTTTCTTTCTTTCTTTCTTTCTTTCTTTCTTTCTTTCTTTCTTTCTTTCTTTCTTTCTTTCTTTCTTTCTTTCTTTCTTTCTTTCTTTCTTTCTTTCTTTCTTTCTTTCTTTCTTTCTTTCTTTCTTTCTTTCTTTCATTTCTGGTTCTTTTTTTTCCATATATCTAGGAATGCTAACGACAAAGAAGTAATCAATAAGATTTTAAGTTCTTCATAGTTTGCATGTTTTGTTGTTCTCGTGAATCTATCATTCACGTTCTCATAGTAGTAAGAATTAGTGGAATTCTTTTTGTCTGTTTTATCAGAAGTTTATACAGTGGCATCAACAAACAAAACAAAACAAAAACAAACATAAATTATTAGAGGGATGGTTTTTTTTTTTTGTATTAGAACAGGCGAAGTTCTTTATGCTTTAAAATTGATGCGTGTGTACAAATAACTTGTGGTCATTTATATCAACGCAAACTGCAGTTCTGGTGGCGACTGTTGGTAGTAACACGTCTAGCCACTGACTTATAAAACTACTGAATATGTATGTTTCTGGAGTTTGCAGAGACTAATCGCTTGTTTATCAATTTTTAAAATGAGGCAGAGAGAGAGAGGTATTTTGTGCCAGGTCAACAGGCATAGGCGATTTTACCTCGCCACAATCTGCGATCTCCTGCAGCATGTATCAGTTCGTGTGCTGACACCCATCCATGCTATGCAACAAGACTGTCACGGATCTTCTCTCGTCTTTATTTATCTCTCCATCCACAGATTTTTCCAGTGGTCACCACATGTTCCATTTTCCCTCTTCTCATAACATGGCCGAAAAATGATGACTGTCTCCTTCTGATGTCTGTGATAAGTTGTCTTCGGGCTCCCGACTCTTTCAAAACCTCTTGGTTGCTTTTTTTCCGGCTGTCCAAGTTATTTTAAGCATTGTTATGTAAAACCACATTTCTGAGGCCTCAATAAATTGTTTGGCTTGCCTGCCGATTGTCCAGGACACAACCATATTTTAAAATTGGATGTATGCAGCAAGCAAGAATTCTTTTTCTAACATTCAATGACAAAGATACATTGCATAAGATGTTCTTCATTTAAAAAAGTGCAGTTTTTGCCGGTCCTTTTCTGTTTCTTATTTCAGTAATGCATCTTCCATCGGATGTTATCCATATGCAAAATTCGCATATAAATCATCATTCGCTCGGCCGTTCGTTTGACGTAATTTAAACGCACCTTTAAATTCTTGATAGGAATATCTTGAAATTTGATTTGGGCAAAGACACCCTTAAAGAACGAAAAAATACATGATCTCTCTCTCTCTCTCTCTCTCTCTCTCTCTCTCTCTCTCTCTCTCTCTCTCTCTCTCTCTCTCTTTCTCTCTCTCTCACACACACACACAGACACACACTCACACAAGCCACAAAAAAAAAAAAAAAAATCGCATTGCCTTTGAATAAATGTGCTTACTTATCTGCTGCACCTTCACGAATACAGATGGAGGATCGGTCGCTTGTCGAGACAAACACAAAGACAATTGTGAGCACGCTGCGGTTGGCATTTTATGCAGTATAATACACGTTGAGTGTGAAACATGAGAGAACAATAATTTTTTTTTTTTTTACAATGGCGAGGAAAAACAATTTGAATTTCAACTTTTAAGAATCTTCTTGCCTTCTTTAATAATGTCACAATTTATAGCTTACTTTTCTTGATTTTCGCCGCGGCACCCCTGGCTTACGCACCCAGTTTAAGAACCTCTGATGTAATGCCTAAAACGAGACAGCAGGCAAAGAACACGGCCGACTCAGTCTGGAGAAGGCGGTGGACAAACTTAGGCAATGGCAACTATTGTGTTAATGAGAGAGTTATTTCAGTCCATTGCAGTGTATGCAGAAATCACTATTCGTATTGGGCCCGACCGCCAATATTCGGCCGAATACCGAATAGCTATTATGTTCACTATTCGGCCCCGAAGCGAATACGAAGCGAATATTCGGTACAGCCCTATTAGAAATGCAGTTCATCACCGACGGTAGCAGAAGTCGTCAATTGATCAGCAGTTGCACACGCGATCAATATTAATCACCTAAGGGCACCACCAATATTGCGGCGTCAGGCCACGCGCCATTTTTTTAAAATCTACAGTTCACAGCACCACGTTCGTCACATTCGAAAAACATTCCAAATGAAATTCGAAGCTCACAGTGTCGCGCCATGCACTTAACTCAGTAGTTAACGCGACGAAACCTATCCTTTCAGTCTACAAATAGGCGTATTTGTGTATGTATGATTCTGTGTATGCATGGGTAACTGTATACGTTTGTGTGTACGTATCTGTGTGTAGGCGTGTGTCAGTGAGTGTGTCTGTGTGTATGGTGTCTGGGTGCTTGTCTGTAGGTGTGCCTGTGAGCGTGTCTGTTTTTGTGTTGGCTCTTCCATATGTGTGTTTTTTATGTGCATATGTATGTGTGTCTGTAAGCGTGTCTGTGTGTGTGTGTCTGTCTGCGTGTCAGTGTGCGTGTCAGTCTGTGTTGTGTGTCTGTGTGTGTGTTTTTTTTAAATGTCTATCTGTATGTGTGGCTGCGTGTGTGTCTGTGTGTATGATTGTATGTGGATATGTGTGGGTGTGGCTTGGCTGCATGTTTGACTGTGTGTGTGTGTCTGTCTGTTTGTGTATATCTATGCTGTGACTGTAGGTGTTTCTGCGTGTGTGTCTGTGTGTCTATGCCTGCGTGTGTCTGTGGCAGTGTGTTTCTCTGTGTGTTGTTTCGTGTGTATTTGTATGTTCATCTTTTTCATAATGTGTGTGTGCGTCTGCATGTGTGTGTCTGTGCGAATATTTGTGCGTCTGTGGGTTTGTTAGTATGTGTTTGTGTATGTCTGTGTGTGTGTGTGTGCCATTATGTGTTTGTAGGTGTTTATGGCTGCATGTGCATCTGTGTCTGTTTGTGGCTGTGCGTGGCTTTGTGTGTGTCTGTGTGAGTCTCTATCGGTGTGTCTATTATATAATGTCTGCGTGTCTCTGCTTGTGTCGGATTATGCGTCTGCTTGTATGTCTGTGTGCGTATGTGTGACTGTGCGTGTCTGTGTGTGTATATCTGTGTATGTATGGGTGTTGCGTATGTCTATGTGTGTGTCTATTTCCCTGCCTTTGTGTGTGTATGAGTTTGTGTGTGCCCGGGACTGCATGTGTGTGTGTCTGTATGTGTCTGGGTTGTATGCGTGTGTGTTTTAGAGCGTGTATATGTGTGTGTATGTATGTATTTTTGTATGTGAGTTTGTATGTATGTGAGTTTGTATGTATGTGAGTTTGTCTGTCTGTCTGTCTGTCTGTCTGTCTGTCTGTCTGTCTGTCTGTCTGTCTGTCTGTCTGTCTGTCTGTCTGTCTGTCTGTCTGTCTGTCTGTCTGTCTGTCTGTATGTGTGTATGTGTGTATGCGTGTATGTGTGTATGTGTGTATGTGTGTATGTGTGTATGTGTGTATGTGTGTATGTGTGTATGTGTGTATGTGTGTGTATGTGTGTGTGTGTATGTGTGTATGTGTGTATGTGTGTGTGTGTGTATGTGTGTGTGTGTGTGTGTGTGTGTTTGTATGTATGTATGTATGTATGTATGTATGTATGTATGTATGTATGTATGTATGTATGTATGTATGTATGTATGTATGTATGTATGTATGTATGTATGTATGTATGTATGTATGTATGTATGTATGTATGTATGTATGTATGTAAGTATGTATTATGTATGTATGTGTGTGTGCATGTTCGTGTGTATGTGGATGTATATGTGTACTGGGTGCCTATGTGTTTGTGTGTAAATGAGTGATTGGGCTTGTGTGTGTATGTGGGTGTGTGTGTTCGCGCGTAAGCGTGCGCACATATTTTACCGCCCATGCTTTTGTTTTTGACTTCACATCCATAATATGCATATCATTACTTGAATATAACATGCTTCATTGATGAAATACAACTGCTGTGTGAAAGATGAAAGTTTGGAAGGGCCGAATGTAAAACAGGCCTGCGTGCCTAATTTGTAACCCTTTGAAAATAAAGTTCTTTCGTTCGTTCATTCGTTCAAAAATGCAACGGCCACCGTCTGGCAAAAGGAAAAAAATTGCCTCGACGCGAAACAGTAACCGCGCCTGGGGTCCGTTTGGACCGAAAATTCACTCATTCCCTGTCCTCACTGTCAAAACACTTTTCGGGCCCACATCGGCCTAATCAGTACTCATACTTGATGAAAAAGAGTTTTCATCATCATCTTGATGGACAACACACACACATTCACACACACACATGTACACACTCTATCATCAGTGTAACAACTGTTGGATACCAACCTGATAGGTACTGTCCGATAGTTGTGTTGACGAGACAGAGTGTTCGTGTACTATTTCTTTTCGTGGCTCTATCCTTTTTCTCGTGCACAGAAAGCAAAGCAGAAATAACATGAAAGCAACGCTAAGGCAGGTTCCAACAATCACTGGTACGCTGAGCTGGGTTGCCGCACTTTCGGCGCTAACTGTAGGGGTGAAAGAACAAGCAATATTATGAGAGTAAACAACTCTTCTTCTTCTGCTTTTTATTCCCCAGTGGAGCATAGGCCCTCAACCAACTCACGCCCAGCCGTTCTATCCTTCGCTATTGCATCGAACTCTCCCTATGTCCTCCCCATTTTTCTTACTTCATTCTCTAACTCTCTTCTCCATGTGTTTTTTGGCCTTCCTTTATCCTACGCACTTGTGGTTCCCAAGCAAAGACATTCTAGTTATGCAAGGGAACAATTACATGACATGTATACACTTTTTTTTTAACTAGCTGACTCCCTGTATGAGTTCTGTGGTCCTCTTCTAGGAGGGTGGGGGGGTGGGGGCCCCCAAAAACAGGTATGTCGTAAAAGTCGACTAATCAGAGGTTTGCCTGAGCGGCAAGGAGCCAAAAGTCTGTAAGTAAATACTCCAGATCTGTAAAACGGAACGCTCAACCTCTAGGAAAAACAAAACTTAAAACTGATTACTACTACACACGAACTACTACACACGAACTATTGCATGCATATAGTCACGCTTCATATGTTACTTTTAACAGCAAACCACCTGTGAGGAAGGCGACAGGAAGACCATGAAATAGACGGATACATGGTGTAGCTAAAACCTGCAAAAAAGATAAATCCATGACCTAAGCAAGCAGAAAAGCGCAAGACAAATACATAAAAACCAAAACACTGGGCTACAACCTGGTATCAATGAGACGACAAAATAAAGAAGAAGAAGATGTAAAATCATTTTTGTTTTGCCGTATTTGAGTGTGTATTGATACTAGTTTTGTGCAAACCGTTACTTCTTCCTCTTCTTTAGCATTCCGAGCCCTTGAGGTTGATTGCTGCAGATATCACCCGCCTCGATTCATCTTTCACGTTGGCCTTCTCTTTCCAGTTGGTAACACCAAGTGTTTGCAGGTCCTTCTGGATATTATATCTCCACCGTCTTCTTGGTCTCCTTCGTGGTCTACAACCATTCATCTCTCTGGTGTATACACTTTTTACTTCTCTGTCATCTGACATTTTTTTAATATGCCCCAACCATGTCAGTCTATTAGCTCTCATGATGCCAGTGATTATTGGTGATTTAAACAGATTATGAATTTCGTTGTTGCTTATCTCTCTCTCCATTCACTGCTGTTTGCATGTTTGATGGGTCCAAAGATTCGTCGTAAGACTCTGTTTTCGAAAACCTGTAATAAGGCTTCATGTGTTTTTTAGTTGTGCTCCAAGTTTCAGAGCAGTATAACACGACTGGTCTTATCAACGTTCCAGATATTTTGATTTTGGTTTTGCGAGACTGACACTTTGACCTTAGCAGATGTTAGCTAACCGCTACTGCTATGAAATAATTTATGATTTCACCTTTTCTGGTCACCCCTGAAGTCCTTCTCAGAAATCCCACTGCCACAGTGACTAATCTGACTTCAGAAATACACGCATTATATTCATGCCTCCATACCCGACGTCATTTCAAACTACTAAATTGCCTGATCATCTGCTTCATCTTTTGTCCTTCTTCTTGTGTCGCAACGCGTGGCAGGGAGCCGTCCGATGTAGTTTCCTGTCTCTTGCAAAGCGCGTATCTTGTGTTAATATCGTTTTGGGTTTCTTTAATATCCCTTTTACATTCTTTAACGCCCGGCTCTTCTCCGCGTAGTTGGCTAAACCTGATTACGCGGTGACCAGGTGACGAACTCCTTGTGGTCCGGGTTCACCCCGGGGGTATGGAGAAAAGCCACATTTTCTTCCAGGTTTACGGTATTTACAATAGAATCAAGGCCGAAAGGTTGCGATATCCATAATACCGAGCTTAAGGGCTAACAACTCATGGCTTCTGGATACTAAAACAAACAAACAAACAAACCCATTCTTTAACAGACTAAGAGGAACAGATGGCCTAGCGGTTATAAAGACACGCTCTGGTGCAGGAGAATCAGGTTCGACCTCCGTTTAGGTGATGGATTTATTATGTCGAGATCGGAGGGGGAGGGGGGGGGGGGTGAAATAATAATCTTCCCCAGCCAAGTCCATAGCGACAGCACTAGCCCTGCGACCCTAAATCTTCAGGCTAACAACCCCTCCCTCCCCTCCCCCCCCCCCGGTCTTCACCACCCTAAAACAAGTGTAAACACAGACACTAGTGACCCATTTTCATTTTTTTTTTTGTTATACAGTCGAACACATAAATGAAACTATCTATTTTCATCAGTGAGAGAACTATCACTTTATCATGAAAAGATATAAAACCGAACGAAAAGTATACCTACAAGCTTCACAATATAACCAAGACAAACCAAACGGGAATGTTGCGGCTTTGAAGCCTTCATCAACACAAACATCAATAAAACAATACCACACAAACAAACACACAAAATCACTTAGCTAAGTATCTCGAAGAGGCCAGGTCGATGTCTTGTCAGTAGACTGACGAGGCACATTGGAGCGCCAATTAAATACCACCCCTCCCTTTTTTTCAAAGGGGGCAGGGGAATTCCAGGTTCGTAATTCAGATATAACTTCGCTGGTAGTTCAGTCCTCAAGGTGTTAAAGTGCCCAAAGTGAAAATAAAGAGATTCTCAAAAGACTTGCGCTGGAGTGGCTATATTTGATGGCTAAAAAAAAGGTAAGAGTAAAGTCGGGAGATGTGAACCAGCGTCAATGCACACGGTTAGAAACCATAAGTGCTCTGCCACCAGTACGGAGAGCTGATAGGAATTGCCCGCTTGTGTCGCCGTTCGCATGTAACTCTGTAGCTACAGCGACGTTCCTCCATTTAACCCAGAGTTTCAACTCTGGTACCCATTTCCTAGAGGCTGGGTGAACCATTGGAACCGCCCGGTTTCGAACACTGACGGTGGGCTGCAGCGAGTCGCATCTGGATTTGAAAGCGAGCCTCTTATCGACTGCGCTAACGCTGTCTCCCCCATGTCGTGGACACCTTGTTGATCCTGGAAATTGAAGTGCAACGGTACTAGTTTTAAGGCACCATTCTGAACATCCAAAAGATCGCAGACACATTTCAAAGATGTATTTCATGCCACATCTCTTGCAGTTGATGGCGTAGATGACGTTGCTGCTCGTGCAGTAGAATGCATCACGGATATGGAAGGTGACATTCGAGAATCCAGACTTGTCCCCCTGAACCACATATGGACAGGTCCTGCATACAGGTCTGTGGCATGAGACCGTGCTGAAGTGGGACTCTGACGCCTGCTGCAACCGACACTTGACTAAGATGTCCTTGAGGTTACTATCATCTCTTTAGGCCACTAGAGGATATAAAAAAAAAAATCGTGCTGTTGGCAGGTTAGCCCTAAGGATGGAGAGATGTTTAAGGAGAAGATTTTTAACCCGGATGTTGTGAAGGTGGTAGGTAAGTATGAGGATAGGTCTGTTGGTGTGACATTTAGGCTTGGAAACGAGAGCCTCTGCGCGATGGATAGATTTTGCTCGGTGAAAGGCTGCAGATAATACATGTTCAGGATGCCCTCTAAGCTGGAAGTAGTCAAACATTTCTAGGGCCTTGTTTTGAAAGCGCCGCTCACCTGGCATAGTCTGCGAAGGCATAGAAGCTGGAAGAAAGGAATGGAGTCCTCCTTGCAGAAAAGGGATTGGAGGACGTGTAGAGACGAAAAGAGTAGGAATTAGTAGGCTTATAGTACATGGAGGTGCATTAGGCCTTTAGAGTCCACAGTGACGTTACGATCCAGAAAATGCACCGACGAAGGTGAGATGCTAGAAGTACATCGGATGCTGGAATGGAAGTGGGGTAAAAAATGGATGAAGATATGCAGTTCATGTAGGGTCATATGGATGACACCGATGCAATCATAGATATATCTCCTGTAGAGCTCGGGGTGCCTACCGGTATATGCTGCTCGAAGTAGCCCATGAAGAGGCAGGCATAGTTAGGCCCCATCTTGGTGCCTATAGCGACACCGCTGATCTGGTTGAAATAGTGGCAATTAAACTCAGCCAGATGTATCAGAGGGTCAGTGGCTATGCCAGGAGGAAGAACCGCAACGCCTGGAGGTCATCCGAATACGAAATAGACCAGTAGAGAGAGGTGAAGATGTGGTACCTGGAAGAAGAGGTGAACTGGCGAATTTGATTACTGAGAAAACATGGTTAGTATTTTTGATGTAAGAGCAGAGGCGGCAAAATACTGTTGAGGAACCAGGATAGACGTTCTGCGGGACAAGCGCAGGGAACACTATCAGCCTGCCTCGGTTGTCAGGTTTATGTATCTTGGAAAGCAAAGAGAAGCCGAGCTTTGCAAGACAACTGTCCTTGACGAATAGAGAACTGGCCCAGTCAGGCAGAAGATCCTCCTTCCTAAAGGTCGTGATGGTACTTTAAACTATTTTTGTTTGTTTTTCATCGTACTATGTCTGGGCTCATAGAAAGTTGTGTCACTGAGTTGCATGTCCCCTTTCTACACACATAAATCTTTTCTCCAGACTACTACCGCTCCTCCCTTATCCGCACATTTAATAACAATATCGTCACGACTTTTCTGTATTGTGAGTGCCTGAAGTTCTTGAGGCGAGAGGTTGGAGTGTTTGAGAAGTTTGAATTTCAATGTGTTAATCTCGAAAAGAGTTTTCTCAATGTATAGATCCTAAGTTTTAGATGCCCCAGGGCTAGGGGTCCAGGAGGACCTAAGTATTAGAAACCAGACAGTAGAGTCAGTGGGCTGTGATAATATTGCAGCCTGAGCCTGCGAAAAAAGTTGTAATCGTCCTGAAGGAGAGCCAATCGGTCGCTAGATGGGCGTAATGGTACGAGCCGGAGGCCCGTACTAAGGACTGATATCTCAGATGTGGACAAAGGGAGGTCCGGAGGACCACCCGGTTGTCAGAGCCTTCGAGAGGTTTGGAGGAGGAGAGAGTAGGTATGGTGGGACGTAGTTTAATCAATTTATATATCTTCTAAGTCAAGTCTGAGTCCGAAGAAGCTCAGCACGTTGCACAGACTCT